TGTCGTTGAATTATGAATTTTAGTGTTATTATATTTGTTATCGTGAGATGACGTCTCTCATTCATTTCGATTAATGATTTATATGTTCAAAAATGCAACTAACGATCCAAGTTATTTAAAGGACAGAGCTATATTAGCGCCTACTTTGGAGGTCGTTGAGTCTATCAATCAATACATGTCGGATATGAATTCTGCTGAAGGTCGTACATATTTGAGCTCTGACAGTACGTCTAAGTTGGATTCCGGCAATGGCTTTTTGGTTGATCTCCACACACCCGAGTTCTTGAATAGCATTAAGTGTTCAGGAACACCGAACCATGAGTTGCATTTGAAGATAGGAACTTCGGTCATGTTGTTGCGAAACATGGACCATTCTATGGGTCTGTGTAATGGCACATGTTTGGTTGTTACGAAGCTCTCTCCGCATGTTCTTGAAGGTAGGATATTGACTGGAGATCACGCAGGTGAGAAGGTGTTGATTCCTCGGATGAACATAACTCCTTCTGATGTTAGGGTTCTGTTTAAGTTCCAACGGAGGCAATTTCCCCTTATGGTTTCCTATGCCATGACCATAAACAAGAGCCAGGGTCAGTCTTTATCACATGTTGGACTGTTCTTGAAAAAACCTGTTTTTAGTCATGGCCCGTTATACGTCGTTGTTTCACGTGTTACTAATAGGAAGGAGTTGAAAATATTAGTTTGTGGGGACGATGAGTTACCCAGTAATCAAACTAATGACGTTGTATATAAGGAGGTTTTTAATAATGTATAACCTTTTACCAATGACGATTTTATGTTTACTTTATGAATGTCATATATACGTATTATAATAACTTATTAATTAATGACCTTTTAATCTTTTTAAATTTTTCAAAACATGTACTAGCCCGTGCATCGCACGGGTTACATAATAATGGGAGATGCTATGATCCGTTGCGGAACTATTTTGTCGGGATTTGTAAACAGAAAATAAGAGCTTTGTTTTCGGCTCATCGGGATAGGGATAAGAAAAAGGGAAATTTTCGTCGTTTGTGGATCGTCCGAATAAACGCAGTAATTCGAGAAGGGTGGGTATTCTATAGTTATTGTAAATTAATACACGACCTATATAAGAAACAGTTGCTTTCTAATCGTAAAATACTGGCTCAAATAGGAATTGTCTTTATATAATTTCCAACGAGATCATAAAAGAAGCAGGTTGGAAAGAATACACCGGAATAATTTAAATAGAGTTCCCCGGAGAATAAACTCCGGGAAGGTGAGGGTTGAAATTACATTATTATGATAAAATATGCGAAAGTAGTTAAAATGAATGAACACGTTCAAAAAAAATCTTTTTTTTGATTCAAACAAAACACCAACTCGCGTTTGAGTTCAGATTGTAATTCTGATTCAAGTTAACAAATAATAAACCTATTTCTTTCTGGGTCTCCGACCCCTAGCTCTAGTCTTCAACTTCAACTTGGTTTTTTCCAATCGTTTTAATTTTTTGGTTTTGGAAAAAGGTAACAAAGATAAAATACGAGCTTGTTTTATAGCAATAGTAATTAATCGTTGTTGTAAGAAACTGGGGGAAAAGGAAAGCCCATATGAAGCCCAAATGAGGTTCCATCCCAAAACCAATTGGTGAAAGGAGGAGTAGCCCATTAGACTTATAAGGTGGGTCTATTTTCTATGTGTGAACGATGTGGGACAACTCACAAGTGATATTCTAACAGTTGTTGTTTCAAGGTCAATCTATTCACCCGCCTAGATAATATTTTTCCTTGTTAAGAAAAAAAGAAATTTAACGGTTACAAATCCCGACGAAATAGTTCCGCAACGGATCATAGCATCTCCCATTATTATGAATTTATGATTCAAATAAGGTATTAATTAATATAACTATACTAAATAAACATCATATGTCTTATGAGTTAGAGATGAAGTAGGCATGACGAAGCCGACCCAGCCCCATTAAAGAAGGTTTGTGTCACTTTATTTTAAAGAAAGCTTCACATCCGTTCTTCTTCTTCTTCTTCTTCTTATTATTATTATTATTATTATTATTATTATTATTATTATTATTATTATTATTATTATTATTTTGGCAGTGGTCCGACTAACTAATTAAATTAATGGAAAAATATGTGAATGTGGACAAAGTGCAGTTAGATATATAGGCTGTGCGTGCTTAATAAAAGCGACCGGAAGAAGAATAGCACTTCTTTTGATAACAAAAAGGCGTGGTTTTACAATCACCCTTTCTTTATTTAAGAAGTTTTGAAGTTGATGCCAATCATTCAGCCAATAAATACAATGTTTATAAGAATACCTATAGTATTTTTCTTGTTTTAATTTGCTATACTGCTACGGGGTGTGGACCGAACGGATATGGTTTGAATTAAATAAACTTCCCCATACAACTGGATGGAACGATTAAAGCCTGTTCGTTTAGGAGGCCGAACGAAACGTGCGTGCCAAAGGGCCAGGCGTCCGATAGACAATCATCATTACCCAAGATTATCCGTACCAGGCGCATTAAATGCGAGGATATTCGAAAATCATCAATCTAATGATGCACATAAAGCAGAGCCACGTGGCGTGGCCCGGTTTAATCGATTATATTGAGATTAGATTATGTAGTACAAAGACATTAAACGTGATGTGACAAAATATCAAAGAGTATCTTGTAATAAAAAACAGAAAATGAAAGTCCTAAAAAGAATTGTAACAAGCCCTCACATTTCCTTTAAAAGGAAAAAGCGTCAACATTAAATGTAATGAGTAAATGCTCTCATTAATACCATATAAGTCACGGATAGAATCACCATTTGGTCACAATTTGTACTGAACTCCATATAAATCTCTATTCGTGTAGACCGAACCGAGTATACATCTTAGTATACAGTTCGAATACATTGTTGGTCATTTTTAGACGTCAACAATTGGCGCTAGAAGCAAGGCAAAGTCTTCAACATGTCAAGAACAACAACAATATCATTGAGTCGGAGTCACCGTCGCGAGGAGTTAGAAGAGAGAGAAGACCGGCGCAACCATCAACCAACCACGACGGACTACTCGACATTCTTCAAGGACCCAAACTTTGTCAAAGGAATATCAAACCTTATGACACAAATTCGGCCATCCACATCTCAAGTACCAAAGACCCCAGCAAAAAAGGACCTGACCACCGCACTCAAGAGTAAAGGACCGACAACTCAAGAAGAGACCCCTCGATCCCACGAAAACATTGTCGGGAGCCAGAGGGAGAAAACCACCACACGAACGGAACGAGAGCAAACAGATGAAAGTCGTTCGGTAACAGACTCGTGAACGTGTCGTACCAACTGGTCGGTCTTCAACCGACTGAGGAAGAGCGTGACCGAGGACGACCTGAGGAGGAAGCTGCTCAAGAAGCGAACGAGTCAAGGCGAGGAAGATGAGATGAGAAAGCTTCAAAAGAGGCTTTCCGAACTCGAGGCTCGACGCAAGAGCCCGAAACGAACTGTTTCAGCATCACAGGACTGAACCGAAGCCATCCCCAAACGAAGCGCAACAATCTCACGGGGACGAACTGGAGTCATCCTAGCCGAGTCAGAATCACCACTAACGTTTGATATTTTGCAGGAACGGCTGCCGGAAAAGATCAAAGTCCCAAAGATTGGGTTCTATGATGGGACGTTGGACCCAGAAACGCACATTGGGTTATTCACGTCATAGATGGACCTACACAGAGCACAAGACGCCCAACGCTTCCGGATGTTTTCCATAACATTGGGGGAGAAAGCACAACGGTGGTATCATTCGCTACCCCGGCATCCGGTCTGGCCCGTCAAACAAAAAGAAAAAAAGGACCACAGTTGGCCACAACTAAAGTCGATGTTCTGAACCCACTTCATTGATTCTCAAGCGTGCAGAATCTTGAAGGATTCAATCACCCATATAGTTCAAGGAGCGGACGAGAGCCTAAAGGACTATATCACCTATTTCAATGAACGTGTGCAAAATATGGAGTCCTGTCACCAAGAAACTCTGCTCGTCTCAGCGTATTCAGGACTGAGACCGAACTCAATGTTCCGATGGACACTGTGCCACAACAAACCCCAAACCTACCACGAGTTTTTTATGAAGGCCCAACAACATGTGATAGCGGAGGAGAGCATGTCGATCCCAGCATTCGGAGCCACGAACGAACCACATGCGAAACGTAAAGAACCCAAACCGAACAAGGAATACCATAAGAAAAAGAAGACAGCCCAGATCCGAGCGTTACAAAATAAGTACCACGATGAATTGACGAACAACTACCAGGGAATCTATTCGGTCGTGGCGGCCGTAGTCTATGAGAAGCTAAAGAACAAAGGCATCATACCGGATCCAAAACCAATTAGGGCCGACGAGAAGCACTTGGACAAATCTAGATACTGCGGGTACCATAAATCGCAAGGTCATAATACGAACCAATAGAGAAATCTAATATCTGCTATTTTGAAATTAATTGACGATCCGCAGGTGAGGAGATTTACCAAGGCAGCAGGAGGCAACCGAATGCCCATAAATGAGGACCAGATGGAACCCGAGGACGAGCTGAATTTTGAACTGAATCAACGAAGAGCAAAGGAGCATCCTAAGGAGATTCTTACGATCAGCCAGGACCAGCGTGACGAGGCCAACACGTCCTTAATGAATCAGAGGAAGAGATCTGTATCCGTTCGAGATGGAGAACATTCGGCCCATATACCGATCAGACGGAACGTACCAACGGGAAAAATCAATACGAGTCGAGGAAATTCAGGCGTGTCCAAGAGGCAAGTCAAGGCGTATGCCTGCGAGCGTACATCACGGGACATCAAGTCAGCCAGGCAGAAGTAAGGGAATAACTTCCCGTTCTCACAAACCACATAATGTTTTCAGATGAGGATTCGTACCCGTACGATAACCCGCATTCGAATGCACTGGTGATTACAGGCCCGATCCAGCATATCCCCGTTCACCGAATCATGCGGCGCCTATTCGAGCATTCCCCGTTCACCGGATCACAGGGTTCAACGGACAGACGACCTTACCAGAGGGAGAGATCACGTTGCCGATCGAACTTGGAGGAGTGGGGCCGAACGGGCGAAGAATCATGGAGACGTTCAAAGTTCTAAAAATGAACCACGAATACAACGCCATTTTAGAGCGAACAACGTTGTACAAATTGAAGGCTACCGTTTCGATCTTTCATTATTCAATCAAATTCCCGACTGAGAACGGGATTGGTGTCCACTACGACAATCAAAGAGAAGCCCAGGAATGCATTATGAAGATTCCATCGCTTGAGATCCACTCGGTCATGACGACAAGCGAAGTACAAAATCAGCCGTTGGAGCCAAATGAGGAACTGATCGAGCAGGTTATTCAGACGCAAGCCGAACACACTGAAGACGACCTGATAACCGAAGGGAAGCCAACCGAAGGAGGCAATCGGGAGATCAACAACCCCTGGTCGACCTGATGGAGGAAAACCAATATAGCCCGATTGGGAGAAAAAGGTGCAGAGACGACTCGTGTGAAAGACCGGAGGATGGAAATTAGTGTTTGTCACCCACGCCCCTAACCATAGATGACGAACCTCAACCCGATGAAGAACAAGTTCAGACAACCACTCAAGAAGAGAAAAAAGAGATGTAGGAAGAAGACCGAACGGACGACAGGCCGTCAGCCCGGGAAGGAACCGATTAAGGAGAAGGATGAGTTAGATCCAAGAGATTCGTTCAAAAGAAAGAAGGCCGACCGAGCCGAACCCAGCAAGGACATGAAAGTCGTTTATCTGGACGAACCATTCTGCACCAAGTCACTGCGCATAGGAAGAAATCTAGGCGAACCCGTCCAGACCGAACTAGACGTTTTTTTTAACTAAGAATGCAAATGCTTTTTGCTTGGTCACATGAGGACATGACGGGGATTGATTCGAGCCTGGCAAGCCATAGTCTTTAGATCGATAAGCCGATCAAACCGATGGTGCAGAAGAGAAGAAAATTGGGGCCTGATCGACAAGGCGCACTTGAAGCCGAAATGATCAAGCTGATAGATAAACGCTTCGTCCGGGAGGCGAACTATCTTGTGTGGGTTTCCAACCCGGTCCTGTTAAAGAAAAACAACGACACGTGGCGGTTATGCATAGATCTCAGCAACCTCAATCGCGTCTGCCCCAAAGACAGCTATCCGTTGCCTAGCATCGACTACATGGTGGACACGACGTTCGGGCACGAACTCATGAGCTTCATGGATGCCTATTCAGGATATCACCAAATCTCGATGGACCCGGACGATGAGGAGCACACATCTTTCTATTTAGCCAGAGGACTTGGTTCGGACAAAAGAATGCAGGCGCCACGGTCGCGGAGGTCGTGATCAGAAATTTTTTAAACCCGTTTTTGCTCGAGCTTTTGAGTATTGGGATGGGGACTCGTTCCCAGACCAAAGGAGGGGGGGGACTCCAGACTCATTTTTCTCCAATTTTTCATTTTAGAAACACCTTTTTCTCTAGCTTTTCATCTTTAATTCGATCTTGGAGGGTGACACTCCAAGAATCGATCTGTAAATAGTTTTTTATGATATTTTCTCTGCTTTTCTTTTTATCCCATGCTTGAATTCTTGGAAACAAAAACGCTGGATCAAAATCCTGCAATTCCTAATCCGATTGTAAGTTTTCAGTTCTATTATATTATTGTTGATTGGGTTTATGTTCTTCAATCTGATTATCATAAAATTGAATCCACGAATGAGGTAATCCATTCACCTAGGGTTAGGGATTTTTTATTCTTGTTTTGAATTGTGTTGAATATGTTTTGTTTAATCTATGTGAGTTGCTTGAATTTTAGAAATCGTTGATTGTTCATCTGCTAGGAAAACAACCTTTAGAACCGAAAGGGGTTTGGTGTTGAAACTAGGCTCGTATGAGGTGAATGATTTCTTCTAATCCATTTAAAAAACTTTTAGAACTGAAATGGGAGGATTTGTGGAACCTAGGCTCGTATAGAGTAGACTTGTTCGTAAAAGTATTGTCTATGAGTTGCTTGATTGAATGATCTGTCGTTTATGTTTGTGCTCTTGTTACGAAAAGTTATTGAGCATAAACCTCTAGATGTGTAGGCTTATTGAGGGCATTGACTATAATGAGACTTTTGCTCCAGTCGCAAAGGTGGTTACCGTTCATACCTTTTTGGCTATTGCATTTGCTAAAGGCTGGGAACTTCATCAGATGGATGTTCATAATGCATTCTTACATGGTGACCTCACGGAGGAGGTGTATATGAATCTCCCACCTGGCATTTCTCCATCCCAATCTGGTCAGGTGTGTCACCTTCGTCGTTCTCTTTATGGCTTACGACAAGCTCCTCCCTGTTGGTTTGCCAAACTGCCCGGGGCCTTTCGTCAGTATGGGTTTCAGCAATCCGCTTCTGATTATTCTCTATTCACTTTGACTCATGGTGCTATGCAGATTAATGTTCTTATTTATGTGGATGATCTTATATTATCTGGAAATGATTCCGAAGCTCTTCGTTCCTTCAATGAGTATTTGAATCATTGCTTGTACTTCCTTGGAATTGAGGTGGCTCGAAATCCGTATGGAATAGTTCTTTCACAACGAAAATATGTTCTCGGCATTATTTCAGAGGCGGGGGTTGTTGTTCGCCTATATTTTTAAAGCTCGACCGCAAGTGTACGGCTTCGCTCGTAGTATGTGGCAAGCAAGGTCGTATCCCAAGAGACCAAATAATCAATATAGCAAATACTAGATTATGATAGTGTCAACTTTATTTAGACGACCGGATATGAGAGTGATTAACTAAACTAAGAAAATAATTCAAAAGATAAGAAATCGATAACAAGAAAACAACTAGAAAAACACTTAAGAAGAATATACGGGAATGATAGATTCTAAGACTATGGGTTCAATTAACAGTTGGGTTCCTTCAGATAAATCACAATTAACTGTTTTCTTTATCTACCCTATAAGATGATCACGAAATTAGCCTATCGTCCCTCTCGA